TTAAAAATGTATTTTTGTTGATTTTTAGAGTGAGAGGAAGGGAGAGAGATAGATATAATCATCCCGGAGAGAGAGAAACTTTATCGATCAGCTGCCCCTGGCCCGCCCCCTACCAAGAATCCAGTCTGCAACCCAGCATGTGCCCTGACTGGGAATTGAACCAGTGGTCAACCACTGAGCCACACCAGCCACGTTGTATTTGTGTTTTTAAATTATAATTATAATATCACACACACACACACACACACACACACACACACCACACATCCCATTTTCAGTTTGTCATTTTTGCATAATAGAGCATGAATACTTTAGCATTAAACATTCTTCTATACATACTAAAAAAAAACACATATTTTATTGATTTTTTACAGAGAGGAAGGGAGAGGGATAGAAAGTTAGAAACATCGATGAGAGAGAAACATCTATCAGTTGCTCCCTGCATACCCTTTACTGGGAATGTGCCCACAACCAAGGTACATGCCCCTGATCGGAATTGAACCTGGAACCCCCTCAGTCCACATGCCGATGCTCTATCCACTGAGCCAATCCACTTAGGGCTATATATACTTTTTAATAGCTGTATAATACTTTATTATAGAGACAAGCCATACTCTTCTATTATTAGAAATTTGTTATTGCAAAATTTTCACTAATTTTTGTGGTAAATACTCTTATATAGAGATCTTATTTTTCATATCTCTGATTGTTTTGGTAAAAACTGCTGAATTGCTTGGTCAAAGTTCTAAGCATTTTTTTGCATCTGATATGCCTTGCCAAACTGTCCTCCAAAAAGGTTAAACTAGAAGAAGTCTTTTTATTTCCCTTTGCTTCTCCCAGTTAGGCTAAAAAAATTCCTCTTCCTAATCTGCTTGTTTTTTACTTGCTTGCTTACTTTGAAAGATTCATTTAGAATTAGGTAGAAATTGAAACAATATGTATAGAATACTTATTTCTTACTTTATTTTGCTATCTTTCTTCCTCGGTACTTTGATGGTCTTACTTTTCTGATTTAATTTTATTTAACCATGGTTTCCTTTGCTAATAAAATAAGGTTGGAAAGGTAAGAGGAAATATGACTATGATACTAGATTTTTGTGGTCAAAAGAAACTGAGTATACATAACTTTACCCTCTTGCCCTTTGGTGTCATTGTTCTTGTAGAAAGGAAAATCAGGCAAAGCATGAGACAGTACAATGTGATCGATGATGTGAAGGTTATAGTGACAACGCATGGGAGAGCTGACAAAAGATCTCTGACAGCATTTCCTTTCTTTTGTGATTAGCTGCATAAACCAGAAAAAGTTTTAGACTTTGTATTTGTTCATTAATTTCATTGGACTACAATGACACCATTGAAGGAAATAAATTTTCATTGAAATGCATAAAATATTAAAAAATTATTTTAAAAATCTCATAAAGTTTATATTTCTTAGAACAGTAGATAATTTTATAGATTGCTGGAAAAGATTTTGATTTTGAAGTACTGTGTACAGTTGAAATGTCATAGAAATGAAGAGATTTCTATTAGGTCTAATGAATCTCATTGCAGATTATGCATATAATGAAATCTATTGTTTTTAAGGAACAAAATTAATTCTGTCTATCTTTCTGTATCTATCTAATCTATTTTATTGAGGCATAATTGATATAACAATTAATTTTAGTTGTACAACATAATGATTAAATATTTGTATTCCTAGTTGACCCTTGAACAACATGGGTTTGCATTGCATAGGTCCACTTCTATGCAGATTTTTAAAAAGTAAATATACAGTTTTTCTTCATCTCCCATATGTGTTTTTTTAAAACATACTTTTATTAACTTTAGAGAGGAAGGGTCAGGGAGAGAGAGATAGAAACATCAATGATGAGAGAAAATCACCGATTGGCTGCCTCCTGCACACTCCCTATTGTGGATCAAGTCCAGTGGATCAAGTCCACAACCCAGGCATGTGCCCTTGACTGGAATTGAACCCGGGACCTTTCAGTCTGCAAGCTGACACTCTGTCACTCAGCCAAATCGGCTAGGGCCATCTCCCATACCAACTGCATATTGAAAACAGTAAAACAGTATTTTTGATTGGAGGATGCAAAGAGCTGACTCTATGCATTATTCTGAGCCGTTCTATATGAGACTTGAGCATCCGTGGATTTTGGTATTTGCAGGGGATCCTGGAACCAATCCCTCATGGATACTGAGGGACTGTAGTTAAGGTTTTTGTGGAGTCAATAGTTATATGTGCATTTTCAACTGTATGGGGATGTGGTTGGGGGTACCAACAATGTTCAAGGGTCAACTGTATATTTGATGAAATGGAAGTATACACAAAGCACTTCTGCATACTGAACTACCATAGTTGTCTTAAGGAAACGTTCTTATACAGTCGCATGAGCCATAAACTAGTTGCTTTTCTTTTCTTGGAACACCATATTTACTTGAAAGGTTGATTAACAGACAAACTGTCATTATTAAACTTGGGAAAGTGGCACATATTTTTTTTGAAAGTAAACAAAGTGAGCTAATACCTGAAGGAGAAAACAGCTGACAGCATGTGTTGCCCCTGATAAAATTCAGGTTTGCAGCCAACAATTAGAATTTTGGAAAACTTGTATCTTCCACTTTGAGCTTAACAGTTTTCCAATATTTAAAGAATTTTCTGGTGAAATTGGTGGTGATAATAACAAATTCGGTTTTGGTGGTGATATTATAATATGAAATTTGTCACTGCTTTATCTAAGTAGCTATGGAAACCAGTATTTTCAAAATGACCAATGTGTAATGTTACAAACTTATGATGGATAAAAAGATCCACTCAGTATGTAAGATGGATTTGTGTGTAACAAAAACAAATTTAATGCATAACCCATGGACATAGACAATAGGTAGTGAACATCGATCTGATGGGGCAAGGGTGGGCTAGAAGGGGTCAGTGGGGGGAAAAAGAGGGACATATGTAATACTTTCAACAATAAAAATTAACAAAATACACAAACACAAACAGAAATTGATTTTAATTGATAGAAATTTATTTTATGTTCTACATGGCAACTAAGCTTTAAGAAACAACCATTTGTCAAGTTTTATAGTATTATAAGACAGTCTCCACAATTATTTAAAAAGGCTACTAAAATATTTGCCCCATTTTCAATTATATATCTATGTGACATTTTATTCAAATCTTTCAACCCGAACAACATCTGACAACAGATTGAATGTAGAGAACAAATATGAGGATCTAGCCATATTTTGTTAACAAGATTTGCAGAAATTAAAACAGTGCCACTTCTCTGACTAAATATTATTTCTTTTGGAAAATAAAAATTTAAAAATTAAAATTATGTTAACTTGTAATGGGTTTTAATGTTTAATTGAAAAGATTATGTCTGTTTTTTAAAAAATATTAAGATTGGTAAATATTTACAAATAAAGTCCATATAGAATCTCTTTGAAGTTATCAATCATTTTTGAGAATGTAAAGGGAGGTTTTAAGACAAAAATTTTAATAATTTTTTTATTTTATTTTTTTATTTTTATATTTTATTGATTTTTTATAGAGAGGAAGAGAGAGGGATAGAGAGATAGAAACATCGATGAGAGAGAATCATCGACCAGCTGCCTCTTGCACACCCGCTACTGGGGATGTGCCCGCAACCAAGGTACATGCCCTTGACCGGAATCGAACCCGGGACCTTTCAGTCCGCAGGCCAACGCTCTATCCACTGAGCCAAACCGGTTTCGGCTTAAGACAAAAATTTTAGTAGCTGTTATTGTAGATCATGTTCATTTACCATGATGTCAGTTATATGAAGTGGGAGAAGTAATTTTCATTACTAAAAATTTTTGCAGCACCTATTTTTCATTTTCTATTAGAAAACTAAGATACAAATATAGACTAAAACTCCAAAAGCTGTGGAAGAGTCTGAAACAAAGATTTCTAAAAATTTAGTTCTTTCTTTTATTTAAAAAAAAATTTAGTATATATTTAAAAATATATTTTTATTGATTTCAGAGAGGAAGGAAGAGTGAGAGAGAGAAAAATCAATGATGAGAGAGAATCATTGATTGGCTGCTTCCTGTACACCTCCAGTTATTGTATAACTCTAGCAATTATATAATAATTATTTAACTATTTAGACAATATATTCCCAGAAATGTGTTTTTAGGTATGGATGGTGACCTAAAAACACACTTATGTGAATATGTTGTCTAAATAGTTAAATAATTATTATATAATTGCTAGAGTTGTATAATTTAATGATAGTCTATTATGCTTCTTATGTATTAACTCTTATCTCATGTAATGCCCTGCATAATAAGTAAAACTGTTAAGTAATTTGCTGTTAGTCACACAATAAGTTTTAAGAGCTGGGTTTCTAAACTTCTTTTGTACTTACTCTAAAGCTCTTACTCTTTTCCCTTCATCATAATATTATTGTTCATATCTGCTGTGTGTGCAAGCATGAGCTTGCTAAAAATGGTTTGTCAGATCCTGGGGTAAAGGCTCTTTTTGACAAGGCTAGATAAAAACATCTTGTTTTAGTTTGATAATTAAGGCAAGGATATGTTCTTCCAGAGTTGTTGATGATAGTGCAAAAATGAATGAACTGCCCTGGCAGGGTGGCTCAGTTGGTTGGGGCATAGTCCTCTACACCAAAAGATTGCAGGTTCTATTCCCAGTCAGGGCACATACCTGGGTTGTGGGTTCAATCCCCGGTCCAGGTGCAGAGGGGAGGCAACCTATTGATGTTTCTGTCACATCTTTCTTTCTTTCTCTAAAAATCAATAAACATATCCTTGGGTGAGGATTAAAAAAAAAAAATACAAGTATTGGAAAAAAATGAACAAACTATGCTAAAACAAATTGCTAGACACTGATTTCGTCAGTAGATTACAGCCTTCCTAATTGACTTTGATAGATGAAAAAATTATTAGCATCATTTGTATTGTTTTGGTTGATTCTCAATTTAATATGTTTACTATTATGATTGTATTTTCAGGCTTCTCCAGTGACAGTGACCTGATATCTCTTACTGTTGATGTGGATTCCCTTGCTGAGTTAGATGATGGAATGGCTTCCAATCAAAATTCTCCCACTAGAACTTTTGGTCTCAATCTTTCTTCGGATCCTTCAGCACTAGGGGCTGCTGCTTATGACAGTGAGCAGAACAAGACAGAAGAACGGGAAAATCGTAGCCTCTTTCCTGGCAGTTTAAAATCCAAGCTTGGCAAGAGAAATTATTTGGAGAAAGCAGGAGAATTCATAAAGCTGGCTTTAAAGAAGGAAGAAGAAGATGACTATGAAGCTGCTTCTGATTTTTATAGGAAGGGAGTTGATTTACTTCTAGAAGGTGTACAAGGTACAGTTTTGTGTATATTAATGTTTCTTTTGTTGATATCTGGAAAAAACATGTATATATATAACTATTTGTCTTATATATAATTCTCTAAAAAAAAAGACTGAAAATGAGAAATACTGAAAATTAAATGGCCTAAATATAGATATGTCCTTCTGGTTACATGACAGTATCAGATACACTTAACTCTCTACTTTGATAAACTAAGCAACAAAACAGGATTAAAAAAACAAGTCTCTAAATCTCTAAAATGAATAATGTGTGTTTTCTCTGACATGGCCAATGGTCATTAGCCTTCACCTCTCTCAGGAGTGTTCACAGAGACTCTTTAGCGCACCTACTCTCAATGGCTTGAAGAGAGGAGATGAAAAGGGCTTTTAAACCAAGAGTGTAAAAGGTCCTTGGATTTGCCTACTATTTTGTTCCTCGTTAGTTGCAGTAAATTCTCAGCTAATGCATGAGAATGATATAGGGCATGAAGAGTTGAATGTTGCTGAATGTCTATAAGTAGAAAGTAGAATTTGCTTTTTTTTTTTTTTTAAAGCATCAGTTTTTGTTGATTATTTGCCTTTTCCTTATAAAACCAGAATGAAGCATGCTGCAGTTAGTTACATGACTTCCTGGACACAATAATCTAAGGTTGATGAGACCTTCCAGTGGTTTTATTTCTAGAAAATTATCATTTTCATATTTTTTGTGTGTGTGATCTTTGGCTTGTTAGTACCATTCAGATTACTACCATCTCCTGTATTGTTAACACTTTCCCTGCCCTCTCTATGCCTGTGTCCTGTAGTCCAGAGCATTTTGTACTCTTCCTACAGTATAACCTTCATTCTTTTAATGTGGTGTAAAGATGAATGCTTGGCTGCATGGAGTGGAAGAGGAAGTGTGTGTAGTGGCATCCTAACTGCTTTTTAATTGATTTTGACTAAGTTTCTTGTTTTTAATCCTTCACTCTCGTGTCCACAGCTACCTAGAGCCACCAGCTCCTGAACTTTGGGAGAAATTTAGTGCCATGTCAGTCGGGCAGCTTTCTGGAGTTTCCCCAAGTCCGTAACCACTCATCCATCTCCTTGCTGGCTTTTAAAATTGTGCTGCTATCTTTTCTCTCAGTCTCTGTCCTTGTGGAGTTTTGCCTTAAAAATAATTATTTTACAGTCATATTAATGGAGTTTCAGGAAGGAACATTTCTCTTGGTTTGACTGATAACATATATCATTTTAATACAAACTTGGTTTTCTAATAGTTTCATAATCTATTGGAGTGTTTTGGTTTTTTTTTTCTAATAGAGAATTCCGGACTTAAAGATCTACTCATTTTTCTTTGTCTTAACTGTTATTTTGGGTTGGGGGTTTAATATAGAGATGTGTTGCAAACAATCAGCTCTGATATTTTTCCCTTTTCTTTTTAGATAATTTTGTGCTAAAACATCATTACTGTTTAATTGACATAGATATACGACATCATTGTGATTCTTTTGTCAAAGTTATTTGCATTTAACTCTAGAACACTTCATAATGTTACCACTTGATGGCACCAGAAAAATAAAAATCTTTGCTTCAAAATAAGAATTATAAATGCATATCAGGAGATAAAAAATATATCACTTAATTAGTTACTTTGTAATTATGGTGGTGAATTATTTTTCCACTAGAACTAGATTTCTATCTTAAGGAATGTGATTATTTAAACATTTTTTCTATTTAACGTATGCCCTTCTGAAACCACAATAGCCATTACTGTTCTGGATTGTTTTTTTGTTGTTAATGTGCCATCAAATCCATAAAGTTATAATAAATTAATTGCATATAGACTTTTAGTTTATTCATAATGTTATCAATTTTTGTTCATACAGACTGTGGAACTATAATCACAGAATTCTAATTTTTAACCAATGTGTAAAATAACCTATGTTTTAGTCCTCATGGTTATACATTTAATTTTGTGTCAAAAGTAATTTCAGAGCAGTGCTTCTGGTTCATTGATTATATTTATTTAAAAAATATTTTTTAATCCTCATCTGAGGATAAGTGTTTATTGATTTTAGAGAGAGAGGAAGGAAGAAAGAGAAATATTAAATTAGTGAGAGAAACATTGATTGATTGCCTCACATACGTGCTGTGACTGGGGATCAAATCCTCAACCTGGTATGTGTTCTGATCAAGAATCTAACTAGCAACCTTTTGGTATATGGGATGATGCTTCAACCAGCTGAGCCACTAGGCCAGGGGATTATATTTAAAAGTATCAGTCTCCTCTTAACAGACACATGGACATTATTTAAAAAAACTTTCCCCTCAGTTTAATTGACATGATTGACATGTAATATCTAATTAAAGATATACAGTATAAGATTTGATATAAGTATATATTGTGCAAACTTTGCCAACTATGTTAACACTCATGACCTCACATAGTTATACATTTTTTCTTGTGGTGAGAACTTTTAAGATCTACTTTCTAAGCAACTTTGCTATACAATACAGTATTATTAACTATAGTCACCATGTTGTACATTACATCTCATAAATCAGAGTTTGTAACTTTTATCCATTTCACATACCCTCCATCCCCTGCCTCTGACAACCACCTATATGTTCTCTGTTTCTATGAGTTTAGTTCTTTTTAGATTCCACATATAAGTGAGGTCAGATAGCATTTATCTTTCTCTATCTGACTTACTTCATATTTCACTTAGCATAATGCCCCTAAGTTCTACTTATGCTGTTGCAAATGGCAGAATTTCCTTCATATTTATGGTCGAATAATATTCCATTGTGTGTGTGTATGTATACATACGTTTTCTTCATGCATTCATTTGTTGGTGGATATGTAGGTTGTTTCCTTGGCTGTTGTAAAAATTGCTTCAGTAAACATGGGAGTGAAAATACCTCTTCAAGATAATGATTTTATTTCTTTGGTTATATACTTAGAAGTGCAGTTGCTGGATTGTACTATGTGGTAGTTTTATTTTAGTTTTCTGAGGGCTGCCATACTGTTTTTCATAGTGGCTGCACCAATTAACAATCCCACCAACAGTGTACAAGAGTCCCCTTTTCTCCACATGCTCCAAATACTTGCTACCTATTGTCTTTTTTATGATAGCCATTCTAACAGGGGTGATGAAGTATCTCATTGTGGTTTTGATTTGGATTTCCCTGATGATTAATGATATTAAGTACTTTTTCATCTTTGACTTCTTTGGGAAAATGTCTTTTCTGTTACTCTGCCCATTTTCTAAATCGGATTGTTTGTTATTGTGCAATTAAGTTGTGTTTGTTCTTTATATATTTTGGACATTAACCTCTTACCAGATATTTGACTTGCAAATGTTGTCTCCCATTTGGTAGGTTGTCTTTTGGTTTGATGGTGTTCTTTACTGTGTAGAGCTTTTTAGTTTGATATAGTCTTACTTACTTTTGCTTTTGTTGCTTTGGCTTTAGGTATCAAATTAAAAACATCATGCCAAGGCTGAGGCCAAGGAGCTTACTCCCCTGTGTTTTCTTCTCAGGTCTTATGTCCAAATCTTTAACCCATTTTGAGTTGATTTTTGTGTATGGTGTAAGGTATGGATCTAGTGTCATCCTTTTGCATGTGGGTGTTCATTTTCCCCAGCCCTATTTAATAAAGAGGCTATCCTTTCTCTAGTGTATATTCTTGGCTTCTTGTTATAAATTAATTAACCATAGGTGCATGGGTTTATTTCTGAGCTTTCTGTTTTGTTCCATTGACCTTTGTGTCTGGTTTTATGTCACTATTATACTTTTCATTGCTATAGCTTTGTAACAGAGTTTGAAATCAGGCAATATGATACCTCCAGCTTTGTTGTTCTTTCTCAAGATTGTTTTGGGATCTCTTGTTGTTCCATACACATTTTAGGATTTTTTTCTTCTATTTTTATGAAAAAATGCCATTGGAATTTTGATAGGTATATTGCTATGGGTAGTATGCACATATTAAACAATATTAATGATTCTAATTGATGAGCATGGAATATCTTTCCATTTATTTTTGTCTCAGTGTGTTCTGTTCATGATTTGTAGTTTTCAGTGTACTGATCTTTAACCTCTTTGGTTAAATTTATTCCTAGATATTTTATTCTTCTGGGTGTAATTGTAAATGGGATTATTTTTGAACTTTCTCTTTCTGATAGTTTTTTTTTGTTAGTGTATAGAAACAAAATTGATTTTTGTATATTGATTTTGTATCCCAAAACTATACTGAATTTATTTATTAGTTCTTACAGTTTTTTTGGTAGAGTCTAGCATTTTCAATATGTAATATGTCATCTGCAAATAGAGACAGTTTTATTTCTTCCTTTCTGACTTGGATGCCTTTTTTTTCCTTTCTTTTCTTGCCTAATTGCTCTGGCTAGGACTTCCCAGTGCTATGTTGAATAAAATGGCAAAAGTGGGCATACCGTACTTGTCTTGTTCTTGATTTTAGAGAAAAAACTTTCAACTTATCACCACTGAGTGTGATGTTGAGTATAATGGATGCCATAAGCTATATACTCAATGGATATGCAGGATGACACTCCACCCACTGAGCCAAACCAGTCCAGAGCCTCATGAGCCATAACGCTTGCTATAAGTTTGTTATCTGTGACCTTGGTTTAGATCGCCATGCTTTATAATAATGGGTATCTGATAATCCAGAGAAAGAAATCTTCAGGAGCTAAATAGGAGTACTTTTTATACAGTGTTCTTATGAGGTGGCAAATGTTGTTACTCTAAATATAAATTACTCATCCTAACTAAACTATTCATCCTAAAGGAGTTTATCTGGATTGTTGTAGATCTGGTAAAGAGGGCAAGATTATACTTAACGAATTGGGGGAAATGGAGCTGACTTGACATTTATGAGCAGAAGAGATGTTTCCTTGGGGAAAGTTTGCTTTAATGTGGTAGAACTGTTATCGAAACATCACAGTAACCAGAAATACCTATGAGCCATTAAAAAAAAAATATCTTATTGATTTTTTACAGAGAAGAAGGGAATGG